ATGATGTCTCCCCTCCCCCCCTTTCCCATCCCTATACTCGGCAATTTAAATTACAGTGTCACATTTAGGAAGTGACTACTTCTCTATATCCCTGTGGCTAGGGGCCTTCATATTAAATATCAGTATAAAACCATACCCTGAAAAGTCTTATTGCTTACATACATGATGGCATTAGAGATGCCATTATTACAAAAGTGGCTGGTGGCGATTTTGTTATTAAGCCCCACTTAAAACCTGGAGATAAAAGTCTGCACTACATTTCACATGTAACATACCAAATGGTAGACTTTCAACAAAAGCAAAATTTAAGTTTAAAAAATTGGAATGTTATCAAAAGTATTTAAGTTTGGAGGAAGGGCATTTTAAAGAAAAGATGACTTGGAAAGTGCCAAATTAGAGAAAATAAAGAGTTAAGACCCATATGGAATGTTGGTTTTAATAGGAATGCAACCAATAATTATTTTAGGTTCTATTTGTCATAACTGCTCAGGTGTCTCAGAAAGGAAAAGACACTGATTATTCCAACCAATCACACTTTGAAGTATTTTGGTTCAGGTGAGTTTTCTTAATGGCTAAGAGTATTCCTTTACCTTTCTCCAAGTAGAAGCATTAGTTATTTTTTTAATAGAAGAGAAATGGGTGAGGCTGCTTCACTACTTTCTCTTTGTATTTAGGTGAAAAATGAGGGGTGGAAAGTGAGGCTGGTGACTAAATAACCAGAAATTCTCTTCTAGTACTAATATTTCTCATTAAAAAAAAAAATCAAAGATAATGAATTAAGAGCATGATATTCTCCTTTCAATATTCTAAGTATTCTTTCAATAATCTAAATTAAATTTAACTTGTTATTTAACTTAGATGAAATAACATCAGCATTTACTGAGCTAAAACTTGAGTGTGCCCATGTTACTTCTGTTCCAGAACTTAATGGTAGGGAAAGTGTAGTCTTCTTGCTCCTCAAAATAGTTTTCAAAAATAATCTGACTCAAATCTCTAAATGGCCCACACATTTCCATTGTTCTATCCACATTTACAAAAGTCATCATCCCCTGATAATCATCCAACATTTTTATTGCTTCTCTTTTCTCGAGACTAAGGAAACCAAAGCATAGTCTACAGCTATAGTTTGACTATCTCAATAATCACCCTGAACACATGCTACATACACACGCAGTTGGCAACTAGAAAAGAGGAGCATTGCAAAATTTTAGTCTGTCCCTAATTAATAGGGCCTAAGAGGCTACCTTTATCTCTTTTTGGCTCTAAGTATTTGGTTTAATGTTAATGATCATGCCTGGTATTCCTTTTATAGAGGAAGAGAACCTAATTGTCAGCCATAATTGGTTCATTTGTTCCTTTGGGGTAGGAAAAAAAAAAAGATATTTCTTAAAGTAACAGGACTTGAATAAATAGGTGGGGATCTCAAATTCTGAGTAAATCTATTCTATATTTAGGGTGTAATCCTTAAAGACTGAGGATAGTAGGGTCATTCTTGTGGATTTCTAGCAGACTAGTATATTAAAAAGTGATAATATATGGGGTATGAAAGTATAAAGAAAAAAGATCTGAGAAAAGAATTAGTCAATTTATTTATTTTTTTTGTCTTTTGTCTTTTTCCGTGTCCGGCAACGGATCGCAACCCTCAGTGTTGCCCCCGTACCGGACCGGGGACCGGCAACGGGATCGCAACCCTCGGCGTTGCTCCCGCGCCTCGCTCAGCCAGTGAGCGGGAGCCGGTCTGTACGTGGGATCCGAACCCTCGGACGGGAGCGCTGCCGCGCTTCCCAAGCGGCGCACTATCCAGTGCGCCACCGGGCCGGCCCGAATTAGTCAATTTAATGTGAGATTTTAATCATGTACAATAAAATGGATAATATATGGGGTATGAAAGTATAAAGAAAAAAGATCTGAGAAAAGAATTAGTCAATTTATTTATTTTTTGATAATATATGGGGTATGAAAGTATAAAGAAAAAAGATCTGAGAAAAGAATTAGTCAATTTAATGTGAGATTTTAATCACGTACAATAAAATAAGCAGCCTTCGTGACAAGGAATCACATTTTGTCTATTAAAATTTCCCAGGGATAAAAGGGGGAAAATTCTCACACTCTCTTCAAGTATTTGTATCTCCTGAAAATCTGCCATTAAAATATTGCTTTTCAATATTGTGTTTTCCCCTGTCTTCTTTGGTGAGGTGGTTGAGCATAAACTTTTTTAAAGTATTTGTATCTCCTGAAAATCTGCCATTAAAATATTGCTTTTCAATATTGTGTTTTCCCGCCTTCTTTGGTGAGGTGGTTGAGCATAAACTTTTTTAAAATCTCTCTACCACCTCCTGCCCCAAAACATAGGTTATCACATGTGAAATTTATTTTCATATCTGACAAAGGAATGGGCCTACACAGTTGTCTTAAATGTTCATTATGTATAGCCCTCATTTAACCAGGCTTAACAGTCTTATGGAAAAGAAAAACATTACGATAAATGTTGTTTCTACATGTCCCAGTCCTGTGAAAGGTCAGGTGTCTTATACAGTACAGGTTTTGGTGAAAATTTTTGTATGTGCTGATGTTAACTACTGCAACAATTATAGGACTCTAAAAGGTAAAATAATCTGTATGACTTTGACCAGCCCAGTGACCAAAATGCACTGTACCTTAGAATAATCCAGACTGATGCATTAACTAAACCCTCATATTGAAATAGGTATTAATAGCACCTTCTAAGAGAGGCACTGTTTTAAATAGGCACAGAACAAAAAATAGTACTCTAAAAATACTGTTGGAATTCAGTAATATATCCCATGCCACATAAATCACTGCTTTTTCTTATTATAAAAATATCAATACCCTTAAATGCCAATCAATTAAACATAAATCACCAAAAACATTTAAGTTTAGAACACTGCTCAATTCCAGGATAAAACATGCTTTATATTTCAAAAATAAATTAGAGATGAATGTGAACCTAAAGCTGAGGAGAAAAGCATAAACAGTGTATATATATATTTATCTTTAATACTATACACATAGTTGATATACTTAAGATATTATATTCTTAGGAATATTTCTACAAAAACCACCAATATCTTTTCTTAATAAGTCAAAAGTCGGAACAACAATTTGTACTTTCTTTTATAACATCATTTATGCAGCTTGAGATTTAAACTTAATTAAATAAGTTTATATAATAGACTAAACTGTCCCTGTATTTTTCACCATGGATCTATTTTGGCAACATGGAGGTATATCTTTCAAACTGTTATAGGTGCTACTTGTGAAAGAGAAGACATTAAAGGACTTCTTAAGTTAAAGTGGCCTGTTCTAACCTGATAGTGATAGAATCAATTGACACCATTTTCTTCAAGACAAAAGTACATATTTAAAGAATCGCTCATAAAAAATGCTCCATTTTTAACACATTTCAAAACTTTATCGGTAGAATGGCTCTGCACATTAATTTCACTGAGTACATAAACATAGGAAAATAGTCCCCAAAAGATGCATTTATGAGCCTATATTTTTCAACATAAAGTGCTAAGAGATCAGTAAGGAGAGCTAGGAATGTCCTGAGACCACCACCCTTTGGTTGGTCCTGGAGTTTAGCATTCTAGTTTTTTCTTAGGTTCAGGATGATCGTCCAAGGTGGCCGGATGCTCATCTGGACCATCTGGTGTCTCACCTGTGACAGCTAAAAGGACGATTTTCAGCCACTTCTGTTTCAGCTCCTCACTGTCTGCAGCAAAGCTGTGCACAGATTTGGACTGGGTCAGTTTGAAACTGTGTGGCAGGTCTGCACTCCGTGGCATGTCGTCCACAACATAGCCCAGGAGCGGAATGGTGGCCTGGGCTCGGACATCCTAAGGATAAAAACATCGCCCACATGAATGTGAGATGTGTTAGCTTGCTACATGTAGCCCTTGCTCCTACTAAACCTCTATTCCTACCACTGGCCCACACAGACTCACACTGTGAGCTCTCCATGGGCACAGAGGGTAATCTCTGTGTGCAGCACCGTGCCTGTACTTGAGGCCACTGATATTGCTGGCTGAATGAATTAGTGAATAAAAGCTCTGACATCCAAGTCACCTACGACTCAATGCTACACCGACTGTCTGTGAGGGAGGCCACTCAGCAAAAAAGGGAAGAAAATAATCACTATTTTATTGTATAAAAGCAGCAGGCATTAATGATGAGTTCATTACTGAAGGCAGTTTTATTTAATGGTTCATTTATGCATCGATTTATCTATGAACAGGGAAAAAGTTATAGGAAAAACAATGAAGTAGAATAAAATACTTGTATATACTTTGGCATTTTTAGACTATTTATAAAACAAATTTTACTAGCCTTTAACGTAGATGTAGGCTACAATACAAGCACATTTAAAATTTTCAAGTTAAATACATAATTGGTTTAAGTGTTGTATATTTGACTTTTAAGCACAACACATCCATAGTAGCGGGTGCTGCCCTTGTTAGAAGCAAAACCTGCACCTCAGTTGTTCGCATACATCTAGCTGAGATCCATGCACACACGGTTCTCAAAAAAACCCAGTCTTAATGTTTTCTCTCAAAAAAGGTTTTTTTCCCCCTCTCGCTTCTCCTTCTTCTCACTATGCTTTTTCCTAATTCAATTCACCTTTTCTCAAACCCACTGAATAGGAAGGAAGGAGACAAATGATCCACAGAATGAAGGAAATATTGGCCATAAAGTGAATTTTTGAGCTTAGACAACACTTGAATTTTAATTGTTTTTTTCAATTTTAATGAATCGCAACATTGCCTGAGCTCTCTGGTTCTACAGAGGAGCAATGGAAGGACTGAGTTCATTGTCCACTCGCCTCCCTCTGTCCCATCAGACAGATGTGGCTTAGATACCTGGGGGGCACCATACATGTACAGCACAAGAGGGTCTTGCTTGGGGATCACACACCAAGCTTTCTGCCACGGTTTTGACTTCTCCATGTACTGAAGAAAGCTGCACACCACGCTGTTTCCAGATACTTCGGCTGATTCAATCTAGAAAAAGGAGAGACAGAAAATGAACACAAAACAAATAGACTGAGAAGTAATTCACCTTAAGGGAAATATTCATAAAATACAATCTCTTTATATAAAATGTCTCTTTGGATTGTCCAAGATAGATTCATTTGCAATTATTGTTTAAACATTCTATCACTAACATGGAAAAACTATTTGTCAATTTTGTCTTTATATTATCAGAACTTGACTTTATTTTATTTTATTTTATTTTTTTCCTTTTTGTCTTTTTTCATGACC